TGAAGACCAGTGGTCATGTCTATTATTACTGATAAGTTTGTTTCTTCGTTTAGCATATAATTTGCCTTTTTTATGCACAAAGTATGATGCAATATTTGAGTGATGAAACAATACTTGAACTAAGTTCGGTTATGTTTTTTATCATGATACTGTAAGGATTATGTTAATTTTATTAACAGTTAAATTTTGAGTTAAACTTCCCTTTCCTATCGCTTCTTAATTTCAACTTACCACTTCCGGCCAGAACGTAGTTTTAGAATCACGTCTGAATGCTAATGAGTAAGAGCGGTATTTAACCGCGAGCTCTACTGTATTAGTCAGAGAGATACCAGATATTCTGGTCAGCATGCGTCTGCCTTTTTTAGGCTACTCTCTCGTAAGCTATTACTACGCTCGGCCGTACTTTAGGCCCTTGATAGTTCGCAGTCAATTAGCGTTAAGAGGCCAACTCTGTTAGAATTTTGATATCTTTGGCTATATCTCTTTAGATAAGATTAGTTTAGTTTAATTTTTAGTCTCTTAAGTTCAAGCCCAAGCGTCGTCTTTATTGTTCAACTCCAAGACGGAATTTTGTTAAACTTTAGTGGGAATAATAAAGGGTTATTTCAGCCTTCTCACTTGTTGTTTTCTATCTCACGAACTCAAGCGATTATTCGCTTACTAGTTCTTAAGATTCTTCACTTTCAAGTATGACTTAGAAATACACAGTAGAGAATCCTACAGTGGCGCCCGAACTAAAAGGGTGATGGGTAATGACTCTCCACACCCAGGATTTGGCGATTGGGTCCCCTAAAAACCCCAGTCGCCCTTTAAAAGGGAGAGTATATAAGGTATTTCTCCCAACTTCTTGGCGTGCCTTCGTGGTGTAGTGGTTCTGGATGCTGGGCCGGTATTCCAGAGGTTCCGTGGTTCGATTCTCGGCGAAGGCGATTACTCATTTTTCATCTTGCCTGCTTCCAAAAAATACCCAATGTCTCTAAAATACAACTGAATTACTAGTTTCTTATGAAAGTTTGCTCTCATGAGCAAAATTTTACATCAGATAAAGCATTACGTTTCCACTTATGTCAAATTTACTATTACCTACTTCTTCTGGAAAGCAGTGAGTTTCTTGCGAACGTGGTCGGAAAAAAATATTTCTCCAGAAAAATATTATGAATTAATCTTTTATATTCATGAATATTGATTTGAAAACATTTCCAACATTAAATGTAGAAGGCTTCTGTAAATAGAAAACCTTATTTTTAAACAGATCCCTATAAAGCAATAAGAATACTTTTTAAAATATTCATTGTGTATTCAGAGGTCAAAACGAAAACGTTCTACACATTTGCATAGAAAATTCGAGGAAATATTCGAGAGTTAATTTGGTAGAATTTCAGATACACAGTTCCGCGAGCTGAAGATAAAAAGGTTCCCCCCCCCGGTAGAGTGTTGCCATTACTCTTTTGAAATCCTTGAGTTTGTTAATCAAAAATTCGTTAAAGTTTTACAAAATATGAAACCGATAATAAAACAAATTCCAAATTTCAAATTTGGTCTTGCAGATGCCCATATTCGCGGTAGGATTACGTCATTCAAAATTGGATGGCTCTAAGTGTCGTTGTTTTATCACAATGCAAGAAACATACATAATTTATGTAGATTTTTCATTATTTAATTTCTTCAAATATAATACAGGGCGATAGTATTTGGTGGCAACAGTTTGAAAAGTGAAACGGACATTCAGAGTGATTCAAGGCAAAATCGCAAAACGAAAACAATAGTCCTTCAAGGACAAAGCCCCTTTGAACTAATAATAGATTGCCTTTAGTTTTAAAGCAAAACTTTGTTTTTAAAATGTCATATTAGAGTATTTCTGAAACTTATGACGCATGGTTTTCTTCTAATCGTAATCAGCAGAGAGCCGCTCTCATTTCATTTCTAAAGGAAATTCCTCATAGATTTCGTCAATATCATTTTCATATATATTTTTATACGTTAAGGTTGGATCTCTTTCGGAGAGAGATTGCCAGGAAAACAACTTTAAAATGCTTATGAAGTTACATTACATAAAGAAGACATTTACTTTGTGACCTAAACTGTCATAAACTAGAAGAAGAATATCATTTTTTAATTAATTATCGGTATTTAGATTCTTTTTTAAAAGTTTTGACTTTATATGCATCTTCGAATTATAATTTTGGGATTTCATTTCTTACATTAGTCGTTTCGTTTCGGCTGGTCGAAAAAAATTTATTATGCAATGTTTTGATAAGATTTAAACGATTTGCTGGTTTTAAAATAATAAAAGATGAATTACCTGCATCTCTGTATGTAATTTGACAATTTGGCAACAATACATTAAAGTTACCGTTAGCTATAACTATACATGATAACGACTAATTTTTAATAATATCACTAATTTTTTATTAATTAATAAAAATTTCTGTCTTAGTCGTTCAATATGTGAACACAATTACAAGCTTTTAACATACTTAGAAACTGTCAGTCCGATCATATTAACCGAATATGAGAGCAAGGACTCAGTTTTAAGGAAGTTCTATGATTTATAAGTTTATTTAAGAATGAGTACGAAATGAAAAGTAAAAAACAATGCAAAAATTGAAATTGCGAAAATTATAATGTGCAATTTACGAGCATGAACCTGGAGAAACTCAAATATGTGTTTCATAAACCATATTATATAAAAGATTGCATTTCCTATTCTGGGAAACTGAAATTTGTGGATTACCCCGAACGGTTCCTGGGAAAGAAGGCACCAATATATAGATAAACGTGTATGTATTATATACATACATAGACACACTCACACACAAACACACACACATTCAAACTCATATTTTCTATCATTCTTTCGGAAGCTTGTATTTTCTTTTTTTATATTTACTTCCTCCTCTTTTATTCAGCTCCAAATGCTGAGTTCCCACACCCACTGCTTGACAATGGCGTCGGCTGCTCGTCAAAATTCTCTCCTTATGTTTTCCTACAGTTGAATATGAATTTTCGCCTTGCTTGCAACGGAGAATTTAAACTTGTAATATTTAAATCAAAATTATGTAGGAGATTGCTGAAAAATCTCTGATCTCTTTAATCAGAAGCCAACCTTTCAGTTCTATTTATTTACTTTCACGTAACTAAATGTTCATAGAGTCTATTAAGTGAACGGATATCATTTACAAAAATAAATAAAAGCATAAATGGAGAGCTGAATTTTTATAGTTCGAAATTAAAAGTTTTCGAACGCTAAATATTATATAATGTTTAAATTTCTGTTATTTGAAGAGACACGGTAATTGTATAACTACACAAAATGTGTCTAAAAATTGGCTTAGACATTTTAGATTTAGAAGACAGAAGTTAACCATATTAGAATAAGGTGTAATAAGAGTAATTTCATTTGCTAATGGAAGTTAAAATGAGAAAGCATGTTTCGAAGAAATAGCGTATGATACTTTTCATAAAAACTATTGATATACTCCAGTTGGTGGTAAGATTTTCAATACTGCTACTATTTTTTTCTCTAAGCTATGACAGTCGAGCAGATTAGGAGGAAAATGAAAAGCAAAATTACTTTTAATATCACTTTGAATAGATAAAATTTTAAACTCTGCTTAATTTTAAGTAGTGCATACCTAACCGTCATTCTTGAAATTATTAGTTGCAAAGTTGTATTCAGTTGTTTAATAGTACTTTCTTCCATTGGGCAACATAAATAACTTCATCCATCATAAGCGACGTAACTAAGGTGTTAATTTAAATACGCATACAAGTATTTTATTATAAATTTAGCTGTAAAGATTTGTATTAAAGTGGCTTAGTTAAAAAAGTAATATATGTTTTGGACGCGTAAAGCATTTTTTAAATCTTTAGGGTTCGCTTTCCAATCATTTGATTTATGATGCTTATATAAGAAAGCAAACAATGAGTAAAATAGGAAGACAGCTGTTTCACAATTTTGTCTCAAATAATGTTGTTAGTTTTGGAATTAATGTTTAGTAAATTAAATATCTCACAAGATTCTATTTTACAGTAAGAAAACAATCTTACGCTAGTGGAGTTATCAACAGATTGAGATTATAAGGTATTTCTCCCTCCTTTACTCATGCCTCAGTGGTTTAACGGTAGTATTCTAGAGGTTTAGGTTCATGTTCTGGCAAGGGCATTGCACATTTTTCACATATGCCGTTTCATAAACATCTTCATGACTCTACAGTGGCGCCCGAACTAAAAAGGTAGTGGATGATGATTCTTCACCGCCATGATTTGGCGACTGGGTTCCCTAATAACCAATCGCTCTTTAAAAGGAGGAGTATGTAAGGTATTTTATCCCTACTTTCTGCATGCCTTCGTGGTGTAACGGTTGCACACTAGGCGAGTATTCGAGAGGTGAAGGTTCGAGTCTCGGCGAGGGCATTGCTCATTTCTTATATCTCTTGCTTAATGACTCCACAAGATGAGGATTGGAGTTTTATTATTTTAGTGCAGGGACTTTAAAGTTTCGTTTTAGTAATTGCGACAATTCATTTTTGAAATAAAATAAATATTTTAAAATTTAAATAGGTGAAGAATCATACCTAATAATATTTCATCACAAAATTGTAAAAATTATTACTGTAACTAGATTTGTATTACTGTCCGTTTGCGCGCAGTACTTTACAAATTTTAAATTTTGGGGAAAATACAAATTGTTTTTTCTTTATAAAACAAATTCTTATACACTGTTAGTAAATAAATCAAGAAACATAATTATCTATTTGTAGAGATGACACACTGAAAATTTCATATATCTATGACCATAACAATTTGACTTATTAAAACTCGAAAATCGGGCAAAATTCTTACTTTTTGTGTTGCGCAAAGGTGATTAACTCTCCTTAAGATCTTATATAAAGGCAATGAATTAAGATCAAAATGAAATACCAGTATTATACATTTTAAGTCTAAAATTATTTCGTTACCACTCGACAAGAAAGTGCTAGGAATAGACTTTGACGTACCTGTTAATAAGGCTTCCTGAAGAGTAAGACCGTTCCTGTCTGATGGAAGTTGTGAATTCCACATCAGGTGGCGTTGTAACTCTTCTCTGTCTTCTGAATGTACAAGCTCATAGACGCTTTGATGGCAAATATCCGACTAGAGGGAGAAAAAATCAATTGCATTAAATATAGTAATTTTAGTTGGCAATAATGGTAAGATATCATTTCCAAAAGTAACCTGAAAACTATTAAATAAGAATCTGGTAAAGAGTTGTTAGAAACAGCAATTGTTTTTTCAAAAGTATGAATGGTTTTTAAAATTTTGCAAATTTTGTAAATTTTATGTATGTATGTATATGGTTACATCGCAGCATACATATGTTTTATGTATATGGTTACAGCCGAAAACATCGCAGCAAAAACATCGCGGACGAAAACGTCGCGGAGAAAACAACGCAAGGCGAAAACGTCGTGGTACAAAATATCGGAGGGAGAAAAGAAAGCAAAGAGAAAACATCGCAGTTCTAAAACATCACGGTACAAAATATCATCCACCAAAAATAAAACGGTTTAAAAACATCGTCGTCGAAAATATCGTGGTAAAAAAATAAAGCACCTGCAAAATCATCTCATGATGATAACATCGCACACATGCGTTTTTCAGGTTTTTAAAATTTTCAAATGTATATTCGCACAAAGATTTGGAAGCCCAAGAAATGTTAAAGACATTTAAAGAATAAATAGAAACGCAACAAGATATAATTTAATCAAAACACTATTAGATTTGTAGGGATGTATATTTATTTTAACTAACATTTTAAATTTTAAGTTCAGACTTTTCTATAAGCCTTCATTCCCCTAATTGTCAATGCCAGAATAGTTAAATATTGTAGCGCGCGAGAACGCATGCAAATTTTATAGTTTGAAGGAAGTAGTTAAAAGCTGAGTTTCGATAGGAGAAAGGGGGAGTTTAGGCTCTAGCTGCCGTCTCTGCCGTAGGTACATTTGATTATTGCTGGTTCAAGTGGCTTAATTGCATTTCCTTACTCCCACTAGCTTAAAAGGGGGTTGAAGTTCGGGATCTCGCTGAGCCCCGTAGGTTAGTTTAGCACTTGTTAAACATTTCAACTTTTAATTTTCAATTACCTGCTTTTCAGTTACCATCCAAGTAGAGGCGAAGTTTGTTAGCGTCGAGTTGATGCATTGTAAATTTTAAAGAGTTAATAAAGGGTTTGAACCCTTCTTCTGTGTAGTTTCCTGCTACTCCTGTATCCAGACAGAAGTTAACCCACCTGGACACTACAGATTAACAAACGTGAAAGAAAGTAATTTGATAATTAACTAAGCAATTTTTATTGAGGCAACCTCATGCAGTTATTTATCTTCCTTTTTATAAACATTTTTTGGCTGTATTTTTCATGAAAACTATGAGTAAAACTTTATAAAAAAGATGAATTTATTAATGACCTTTGTTAATTAACTATATAAATTTAAAATTCTATTAAATACTATAGGTTGAATTACTTTTCGACTTATTAAGTTTTCAATAAATTTTATTAGTTCATTCAAAAATATAAAATATAAAAGTAAAAATATCCCTCTTTCCTTCCTGCGTTTCCAAATCCTTATGCGAATTTACATTTACAGCTTTTAAAACATTAAAACGGCATGTATGCGATATTATAGTCATGCGACGATTTGCAGGTACTTTATTTTTTACCACGATATTTTCGGCGACGATGTTTTGAAACTGCGAAGTTTCTGAGCCGCTTTATTTTCGACGATGATTAGAACTGCAATGTTTTTCTTTGCTTTCTTTATTCCCACGATGTTTTGTAATACGACGTTTTCGCCTTGCGTTGTTTTCTATACGGTGTTTTCGTCCGCGATGTTTTCGATGGATATCGTATATATCATATTATTGAAGAACTAAGCTTTGTGAGGACCTGAAGCTGATTTTCTACATTAGTAATCTCAGTAGGGAAACTGATATTTCTAATTTAATTTCTTCTTACTTTATTATGGCTAATTATCCTTAAAGTGTGTCTAAAGAAATTTATTCTATATAGTTTGAACTATTGATTTTTATTCTTATTTTACATTGCATGCGTTCTCCGTTTTCCTATGAGCTATGGATGCTTTTTGTTTATCTGCCTTTCGATTAGTTTTATTTATTATCAGAGCACGTAATTTGTCTCGTAATTTTTCTTCATATTTTTACATATAAAAATAATTATTTTACTGCATGATATTTTGTTTTTGCATTTTTGAAATGATAATGTTTGAAATGAGAGCTGTTATACTGAATTTTCTTCAAAAAGATAAATTTGATGAATGAACCTTTGAAGTGGTAACCTCTTTTAACTTTTTCTTAACTTCAACGCACTGGGTACACTTAGATATTTTTAAATGATACTCAATTTAAAGTACCTAATCTGTTATATGTACTCTTTTTGGTAATAAATTCTTTTTAAGTCTCTAAGTAATCAGTTTTCAAAGCCCAATTTGTACGATCAAGGTTTATTTTAATTTGAATAACCAATTACTTTATGTTTGGAATTTGTACTGTAACTTTTACTTTTTCGTTTTCAAATCAGTTCATATGTGTTTAAAGGGAAGTTTTGAGATTGTTAAGTTAGAACGTGTTCTGCGTCTTGAAAGCCACGTTGCTAGGTTTGATACTTTAGATAAGAGTTTCTGTCATTGGCCTTGCATTGTACCTGCCGATAGTTGAACAAGCTGGTGAAGTTCTGAGCCAACTTCGCGTTAATTCGCTCTTAGTCTTTGGCTTTTTAGTTCTTAAAATTCAGCTTTACATATGAATTCCTACTTTGGGTTTCTCGCGATATGTGCTGACAGACTTGTAAGCATTAGGTGTGTTTTCTGTTCCTCTTGTTAAGTTTGAACCTTTTATACCCTTCTTAAGTTTCTGCTATACTTCAGATAAAGGGATAAATCGCCTGATGCCTACCAAAAGGTTGGTCGCAGTTTCCAAGTGAAAGACGTAAAACCTTATAAAGTTATATCATGTTTCAGTTAAAATAAGCAATAATTTATATTTATAGATAAAGAAGAGTAGACGAGTATTTGGTTTAGTACTAATATGAGAAGTACTAAAGGGTTAATATAATCATAAGAAAAAACTTTTAAAAAACTTAAAGAAACTAAAATATATCATTGTCTGTTTGAGAAGCCATAGTTATATTAAGACGTTATTTCATTTATTTCCCGTCTGAGGATGACAGTAGTTCTAAATTCCTTACTATTTAAAAAAATTACTTAAAAACGATTCTTGAGAATTTATGTATTTGAGAAGCAGGTAGTTTAGTAAAACGCTAGTCAAAATTGATGCCATTCTTTTGATTTCACTTTTTGTCAAGTCATGAATATCTTTGTAATTGCACTACAAAAGTAACGCATTAAAATCATACTCTAACATTATTTTCTTAACAGTGTCCTTGGAAAAACACTATGCGGGTGTTTTATTTATTTCGTTAATAGTTTTTTAATTTTTGAACGTGTGCATCCCAGACGGTATAGTGGTTAGGGCAGCTGACTGCGTTGCGTGTCTGGTAGTATACACTGGTGATCCTTAATTTAAGAGCTGGTGTTCGGTTGATTAAATTTATCTAGCATTAATTTAGTTTTATATTTGATATTTTGAATTAAAGCCCAAGTGAAGACTTCTTGTACACCCAAAAGAGACCATTTGTAAATCTATTTTGAGTCGAATAAAACGGTAATTTGACCTTTGTTTGGACTTGTTACTTACGCAACAAGAACTCAGCGAATAGTATCTACATAGTTCTTCGGTATTCTAACTTTCAAGGAACTCTATTTTAGCTGGGATATTACAATATAGATATAAAAACGGATTAACAGCCTCTCTTACGATTTTACCATTTAGTTAACCTTATTATGATTATTCAAATCTCCGACTGAAATAACTGGTTTCGTTACCTTGTGCTTTAAATTTTTCTACAGTCACCCAAATTTGTTACATTTTTATTAAAATGCTTCGATTAATTTTGACAAATGTTTCCGGATCTTATTTTATATCAAATCAATAATATATGATCTATGAATTTTAACATCCTTTTCAAAATATTTAATTTAACTTCAAAGAAATATGATATTTTCATTAAAAACTGCAAGCTCAGTGATAATCGATAATCATCATCTGAAGAAAACCATTAAAGAAAAATATACAAGCTCGTTATAAGATAATATTTTCCGAGAATAGAGAGAAATTAATCAGTGCCAGGCATGTCGATGAAAGGCGCCAGAGTCTCGTGCATGCATCACAGAATTTATTCCCTTTTTTCAAAGATTAAGAAACTATGCTGTCCTACAATAATTTAACAGCAACAACAACAACCTAAAACTTTCGACTAAAACAAAATTCCTCAGCTTCACTCGTGGACATGTGAGTCTCAAACTCTTGTTCCTTTTCCAAAATCCTCGACAAGAGCAGAAGCATGAACAACAGCGAAAAAACGAAGAGTTTCTCCTTTCTAATTAAAGCAGGTAGCGGCAAAGGAAGGTGGCCAAGAAGCACCTGGAACACCACTCACGGAACAAGTACACTCTCATCAATCTTAGGACAAGGGCAATGGATTAGCGAACTTGCTGTTTTTGGCACTTCATTTGTAGGTGTCGATGCAGAGGGAGGCGCTCTTTTGATCGTTATTCACTTTACTTTTAGAAAAATTTTGAGTTACCATCCTTCCACCTTCGAGGAAATTTTACTCCGAGATGAATTTCGGCTCGAAGAATCATCCGAAAAGCTTATTTTTCAGAGATAATCATGTTTGAGTTTCTGGCAGAGAAGGTGAAGATATGACTCCAGGAGTTTATGAAATAAAGAAGTCGATTAAAGGAAAACAGTGCTTGTTTCTACTTCGATGAGTTTAATGAATTTTGTCACGGATCTCTAGTTTTAATAAAGGAACATATTTATTTACTAAGGCCCTGAAAGCGAAACTGGAGAACCAGTTTTGGGTTCCCATAACGTGTGCTAATATTTTGATTTTCTCTTTAGTTCAGACGATGTACTGCATAGTTTGTAAAACTTTAACGAATTTTTGATTAACAAACTTAACAATTGCAAAGCGAGCAGTGGCAAAACCGTACGAAAAAACATTTTTATTTCCAGTG